GGGGCGCCGGCGGGGGCGGCGGCGCCTGCGGGTGGTGGTGGCCGTGATGCTGGTGGTGGTGGCCCGCGGCGGCGGCGGCGAGCGCGCCCTCCTGGCCTGCGGCGAGGTTGAGGGCGCTCAGGGGCGACGTGGGGCCGCCCGGGTGGTCCGAGAGGGCCTCGTCCAGCGCGGGCGGGACGCACATGTGCGCGGGCCGCTCGGCCCCGGTGTACAGGCTCATGGCGCGCATGCTGCACTGGTAGCCCCCCGCGCCCCCGGCCTCCAGGCCCTGCGCGCACGGCTGGCCGTAGGCGGAGGGCGGCGCGGCCGCGTACGACAGCGCCAGCGGCGGCACCACCAGGCCCGCGCGCCCGGACGCGGGGCTCAGCTCGCCGCCCGGCGGCGACGTTCGCAGCGTCATGATGTTCTCCACGCTGAAGCCGGGCAGCCCGTTGGGCGCGCCGGCGTGGTGCTCGGGCAGCGAGCCGTCGGGGGAGCCGGCGGGCGTGGAGGCCGCGCTGCGCGGACTGCCCTGCAGCGCGCTCTCGGGGCTCAGCGTCTCCACCTTGGTGATGGCCGGCAGCGCCGGCGACGCCGCCTCGGTCTTGATCACCAGCTTCTTCTCGACGTCCTTGGGGGCGTCCGCTAGAGGGGGCCCGGCCGGGGCGCCCTTGGCCGCGGCCGGGGGCGGCTCCTTGAGGTGGGCCCGCTCCTCCTTGTCCTTGGGCACGTCCTTTTTCTTGAAGCGCCGGCGGCGCCGCAGGAAGCTGCCGTTCTCGAACATGTTGTAGGAGTCCGGGTCCAGCGTCCAGTAGCTGCCCTTGCCCGGCTTCTTGTCGTCGCGGGGCACCTTGACGAAGCACTCGTTGAGCGACAGGTTGTGGCGGATGCTGTTCTGCCAGCCCTGCTTGTTCTCGCGGTAGAAGGGGAAGCGGTCCATGATGAACTGGTAGATGCCGTTCAGGGTGATCTTCTTCTCGGGCGCGTTCTGGATGGCCATGGTGATGAGCGCGATGTAGCTGTAGGGCGGCTTGACGAGGTCCTTGGGCGCCGCGGGCTGGTGGTGGTGGTAGGGCGCGTAGGAGCGGCCCATGCCCGCGCCGTACTGCTCCGGGTGGCCGGAGTAGACGCCCATGGGGCTGGCCATGCCGCCGTAGCTGCCCGCCGCCCGGTAGTAATTTTGCTCGCTCAAGTAGGGCACCACTCCCAAGGCGTTGGGGTCGGACACGGAGTAGCGCGCCTGCATGCTGCGTCCGAGACGGCTCGCCGCCGCCTGCGCGCACGGACCGCGGGGAAGGCCCTGCGAAAGCGAGAGAGAGCGAGGGGGAAGGGAGCCGGCGGGGGTGGCGGGGCGGGGGCGCGGGAGGGGGTGGGGGTGGGAAGGGGAGAGCCCCGGGCGCCGGGAAGCCTCGGGGGCGAGGCGGGGGAGGCGCCGGCGCTGGGCGCCCGCCCGCGCGCGGAGAAGGGGCGCTCAGTTGTCAGCGGACCGGGCGGATCGGCATCCTGGAGGGCGCGCCCCGGCGAGCGCAACGCCGGCCCCTGCTCGCTCGCTCACTCGCTCGCTCGCTGGCTCTCGGGACCGGAGGGTGGCAGCCGGGGCGGGCGGCGGGGACGCAGTGGAGGCGCCACGCGCGCAGCGGACCGAGGACGGCCCCCGTGTCGGCGCCAACGGGGGGAAGGCGGCTCTCCTAGCCCCCCAGCAAAGAGGCAGCCCCGAGGGTCAGCGAGCCGGGGTCCAGAGTGGCTGTCCCGCCGAGCCCGGAAAAAGAGGCAAAGTCCCTTTTAGGGATTGGGAAAAGTTTCAAAAGTCTTCTTGCTGAAAGCAAGTTTTTACTTTCGTCCGGCCACGCCCCCTCCGGGGACTTTGCGCCAATAGCCCGGCAGCTGTGGGGAGTCGGCACCAATCAGGGCGAGGAGCGCCGGAATCCGTCGGCTCTAAGACCCAGCTGCGCTGGACCAGACTTTTCTGCAGTTCAGGCTCAACTTGAAAAGATTTTTTAAAAAGAGTGATATCTTATTAAAATTTATTTCATTATCACATTTTGGTTAATGGGCCAGCATGCCCCCGGGGAGGGGGGTGGTGGGGGGAAAGACACCCATGCTCCTTTGCAGATAAAGTTCATCTGAAATATAAAATCGAATCGATTAATGTAGTCCAATGATCTCCCCCAAGACCTTGTAAGTAGCAAAGACCCCGGGACTGTTTTTCTTATTAATGAGTGATGAGGCGAATAATTAGATTTCCTAATTAGGGGGGCCCAGGTGCAATGGATTCTAAGCGAGCGTGCTGGATTGGAATGCAAGCCCCCCTCCCCCCCTCCCCCGCCCCTGGATGTTGTCATCATTGAAGCAAATAATTAATAATCGACAGAGAGTTTGCAGGTTTGGGCCGTCAAGATGACCTGCAAAGCTTTTAGAGGCAAATTCTGGAAACTGAATGAATGCCCCTCGCCTCCACGGAGGAGGCAGGCCGCGCCGGCTTGCAGGGGAGTGTCCGGGTGGGGAAGGGGCAAATAAATACCTTGAGAATGTAATCCTCTAAGTGCGCCGCGGGTTCGGCAAATCGTCGGCGGCCCCGTGAGCAGTTTTGTGGGGTTCGGGGAAACAGAGCGGCCTCGTTCCGCTAATTTCCCGCATCCCCCAGCCGCGTCGACGCTTGCGGCCCCCACGTCCAGCTGCGCAGTGTCTCTCCCTTTTCCCAGAGATAAATTCCCTTGGACAAGCCGGCTCCCGCGCTCCCCGAAGCCGGGAACAATGCAGCCAGCCGCCCGGCCCAGGCAGAGCCCGCGAGGGGAAACCCGAGCCTGCTTCCCGCGGGGGCTGCGCCCCAAGACGCGCGTCCGCGGCGCGGGGCAGGGCGCGCTCGGGGCGAGGAAGCTGCCCCCAGCCCCGTCCGCTGGATCGCCAGCCCCGGGGCGCAGTGCCCACCTCCCGCTCCCGCCAAAGCCTCTTGGGGACTCTCCAGGCTGACTTACTCTGCGCCGGTCCTTTTTGTTTGGCTGGCGTTTGATAAGGTGATTGGGGCACCAGGGCTCCGTGGGAGGACGGGGTAAGCCATCCCAAACGGCTGGGACACCTCCAGAGCTGATCCGGTCGAGATACTGACCTGGAGCGACCCGAGGTCGGCGCCCTTCAAAGCTTTCCCCTTTCCTCTGGGTACCCCGGAAAGTCAGTTCATCTGTGGACTGAATATTTATTCCCCCAACATCTCGGGCGATCGGATCGCACTTACCCGCTTCCCCTGGAGGGGGATGGACGCTCATAAGAAGGGCTAAAGGCTGGTCAGAATTCTTCTGGAGGTCGTCCCTCGGTTGGGTAGGGAAGAACAAAGATACAACTTGCGTGGTTTGGGCCCCCACCCTACCCCTGTTCCGTCAGGCGCTTGCCTGATTCCCGGGAAAGGGGTGTGAGAGAATCCGAGGGCGCTCAGCTTTGGGGAGGCGAGAGAAGGCAGTGGAGACGTGCCATTCATTTTCAATAAAGGAACAAAAGAAAAGTGTTTGTGTGCGTCATCTATGAATGGTATGCTCTCCTGATGAATTCACAATCAGAGGCAAAGCACAAACCAGGTTCCTAGTCTCTTGAATAGTTCTACTTCTGAAACACTATATTTTTTATGGGTGCCCCGAGTCTTTCTCTCACTTAATTTTTTTTTTTTTGCAACGAAGTAAAATAAAGTTTCCCAGTCCTCAGCTCACAGGTGAACGATTTGACTTTATTATTTTTTAATATGTTCGGCTCCATTTTATAAAATAAATATATGTGTGTGTATATATACATCTTCCTCCCGGATGGCCTGCCAGGCTCCTCGATTTCTCACTATTTTACCGGAAATGCAAACTATTGACCAAGAAACACTCCTCGGTCTGTAGGCTTCCTGGAGAAATATTATTCCCTCTGCTTTTATGAGGTGCCTTAAAAAAAAAAAAAAAAGCTTTATCACAGCACAGAGCTAAACCCAAAATAACTGTGGACCATGGAAAACAGATTCAAAAATGGTAGTTTCTGTCTGAGTTTGTATTTATAAGCGTGTCCAGGTTTAAAATAATGTCATCTGGAAAGCCCCTGCTTGAGTGGCCAAAATTATTATTGCCCCCCCACCCCCTCCCCCCCCCAAAAAAAAGCGGGGCGGGGAGGAAAGAAATCCTTACAATCCAGATAGAAAAGGTGAGAGAGACATTTTCCTTTGCCCCTGGAATTAGGTTTCTTAGATGTTTGCACAGGTTATCATAACAACACCTTCCACACACCTGGACTTTGCGAAAACCACGTTTCGGATCTCTGCTTTAACCTGCCAGCGTATTTTGGATCGGGGGGCTCCTAACTCATGGCTGATGGCTTCCCCTGCTCATGTAGTGGTCGCGGAGCCCAGAGCGGAATCGGGCCCGCAGGGGGCCGTGTGTGGTTCCAGAACGATGAGCGACGATGAAGGCGGGCGATAGTCGGGTCATGCCCCACTCCCCCCACCTCCGTCCCCCCAGCCGACCGCGTAGCCTCCCCGCCCGGGCGCGTTGGGCTCCTGGACGCGGCGGCCGTCGCGGGCCTGTGGTGTTGGCGCCATCTGAAGGCCAACCGGGGAACTACTCTGGAAAAGAAGAAGGAAACCCGGGCGTTCTGGTCGCAATGGAGGTGCTGCCACCGTCTGGATGCACGTGAGCATTGCAGCGCGGGAGTAGAAGCCTTCAAACACCTGTGGAGTCAGAGAGACGCTGAAAAGAAACTGCGGGCCCCACCGCGGGTGGATTAAGAAGAAGCAAAACAGGGGCGCCTGGGTGGCTCAGTCGCTTAAGCGTCGGACTTCGGCTCAGGTCGTGATCTCTCGGTTTGTGAGTTCGAGCCCCGCGTCCGGCTATGTGCTGACAGCTCAGAGCCTGGAGCCTGCCTCGGATTCTGTGTCTCCCCATGGCAGCTGTCCTCCTGCCCAAGGTGTGGTGCGGATCTCAGGGGACTCATCGGAAAAACGTTTGTCCCGGACGGCGTGCCGGCGGCATCGGCTTTAACCAGAGGGAGAGTCCTAAACATGTCTGCAGCTTCTGCCTTTGAGGCCCGACAGAGAATTCAAAGAGGCCACAAGCGAAAGGAGACTGGGCCTTCTCTGTTTTCAAGACATTTGTCCCAGGGTCCTTTCAAAGTCTCCCCTTGGGCTCAGGAGACGCCTTAGGTTTTAAGGCAAGGGACCCGGGATAAGAGCGGTCCCAGGCTTCCCAAATCTACCTGGGACCTGATGAACCCTTGGGATGAGCAGAATCCGTGGTGCTGCTTAAAAATCCGTCATCGTCCGGCTCCTAGCAATTATCTGTTTTCCGGGACAGCAGGTTGCGTCCGTGACGAAACCTCTCGGAGCCCATGTCGCAGAGCGAGGCCTTTCTCGGGAGTGGAAGTCCACGTGGCACCGTGGACAGGGCGAAATAACAGGGGGGAGGGCGATCCTTGGTGGGAAGACAAAAGAAGCCGGAGAACCACAGGCCGTGCTTGATCGTGAATGGAGGCAATTTCAAAAGCAAACAGAGGAAGTCTCGAGAGCCCCTGGGGAAATGGGAATCCGGAGTGCACGTTCGAGAATCATCTCGTATCGGGGTTAAAATTCTCGAGTGTCCTCACCGCATGTGGCCAAGCAAGGACACGTCCTCGTTTCTGGAAGGTACACGTCAAAGTGTTTAGGGTTCGTGTCATCCTTGCTGCAACTTGTACCACAGTGAACTGCAGGTGGGGGGGGGGGAGGGAGAAAGGGAGACCCATCTCAAATGGCAAGTGAGGTAATATCTCTAACCTATGGTGCGTGGGGATTCACTGGGCACTGGTCTTGCACCTTTCCCGTAAGCTTGACGTTTTTCAAAACGAAAACAAAAAATGGGGAAAAAACACGCCTGTCACTCTGAAAAGTTAAGAAGGAAAGTGCCCCAAAGCAAACACCTTTCCATGGAAGGAGTCGCAAGACCCAATGTGGGGACCAACTTGGCCCTGGTGTCCCTTCTCCTTGCGTTCTGGACGTTTCTGAAAAATAGTCGTCAACAGCCATGGGCTCAATCACATTACCTGTGGTCGTTATATATATATATATAAAAAAAAAAAAGAAAAAAAGAAAAGCTGATTCTCTAAGGAGCTTTTCTGCCTTATAATTCAAGCCACAATTAATTGCCACAATTCATACAAAGATGCAAGAAATCCAGTAGAATCCTATAGATGTTTTCCAAACAGGATGTTAAAGATATGCATATGGGGCGCCTGGGTGGCTCAGTGGGTTAAGCGTCCAACTCTGGCTCAGCTCATGATCTCATGGTGGGGTTCGAGCCCCACATCCAGCTCTGTGCTGA